TGATGTAAATATTTGTATAAATAGTTAGTAGTTGGTAGTACAAGTTTATATAAGTATTTATATTAAACGTTTATCTAAATAATATAAATAGTTACATTAAATGTTTATCAGAATAATATAAATACTTGTATTAAATATTTATCGAAATAATATAGATATTTATATCAAATATTTATCTAAATAATATATATATTTATATTAAATATTTATCGAAATAACATAGATATTTATATCAAATATTTATCTAAATAATATAGATATTTGTATCAAATATTTACCTAAATAATATAGATATTTATGTCAAATATTTATCTAAATTATACAGATATTTATATCAAATATTTATCCAAATAATATAAATATTTATATCAAATATTTATCTAAGTAATATAAACATTTTTATCTTCTCACGTGATACAGAATTTAGCAAATACTCTTTTTCTCTTGAAATAGTAGCTACACGTGGAAAAATAACATTTCAAATATATCTAAATAAACTCAGTGTTATTATTCTTCGAAAGCGAATAAATAAATAAATTATTATTAACTATTTATCCGTTCATACAAATAAAAAGAAATCCTTTGCTGCAAAAGAAAGAGACGTCGCTCGAGTACAACAAAGAAAACAGTTACGATTTTAGATTATTGACAAGTAATTACGAAATTGTTACTAAGTAATTCTTAAATTGTTTACAAATGATCGAATCTTGGTTTGTTCGTAGCGCGAGCGCGATTTCGCGTCGGCCGGCAAACAGAAGATCCTTAATTGAAAAATCCGGAGTGTTTGCCGGTGCCCGGGACATTTAATTAAATTCTTCGGCATCGTAATTGTCGCATTTGTTTAACCGGGCGCAGCGGCTGGAATGCCTCTAAAATCTACATACGTGCTCGAAACGCGACGGCGGCCGGGTCGTTACCGTCTCTCGACTCTCGCACTAGACCCGTCACCTTTCTCCCGAGCCATCTCTCCGTGCCGGAGTCACCGCTGGCAGGCGGTCCGCCCTCGAGCATGCTCGCCCTTCCCCCTCCCCTCCACTCCACTCCAGCGCCGAAATCCAAACACACGCCCTCGTAGCGGCCACTTAGCCATTCCAAGGCAAACATTCCTCGAATCCTTATTTCGTGAACGTCGCGATCGGCCGCCGCGTTCGGAAAATACTCGAGCGGCCGCCGCATCCTCGAGAAACTCTCGAGCAGTTCGTAAAATGGCGCCCCTATGGACGCGGGCCAAACACTTCTTTGCTCCGCCGGGAGTCTAGCACCGTTTATCTGAGTTATTAGTCTGGCCGAGGTCCCCATAATTTTCAAAGTTCCATCGATACCGGACATGGAGTTGGTTTATTTCTTGTTTAATAGAGATGTTTGTCAACTCTTTGTCAACCCTCGCCTCGGTTGCCAAAAAATGGCACCGTTATGTCGGAAGAAGTCGTGGACGTTCGCGAAGACGGATAAAAACGTTCTGCATGCATTGCGAGAAAAATGACTCGGTAAACAAAATAATGATAATAATTTGGCTGCGGATTTTATGAGCAAGATTATGACAGGAAATACAAAATAGGATCATCATAAAAAAAGGGCAAGTTGTTAAAACTATTGCTAAAACTATTCAGAGAAAAGATACGTTTTCAGCCAAGTACAGTTCTTTTTTAGCAAAGTTTTTCAGATATTTTATGATTTAAAAATGATGATGTATGATTTATAAACATCCTGCCGAAGGATATCCTTAATTATAATATATCTTAATGTCCTTAATTTCTAACAGAAATTAATTCATCGAATACAAAGCAACGACAACATCTAAAGAATTGAAAAATACTGTTGGAATAGTCTCAAGTTACTCAAATAATTATAGAACGAAATAGGATCTTTGTAGCACCGGTATCTCCTACTTAGTGCAGACTGTTTTTATTTTGCATAAAAATCGGCTGATTAGTTGTAGGAAGTGTTCGCGAAAAATAGCGATTATCAAACTCTTCGAAATATTCTATTTGTATTGGAAATAATAGTAAATGCATTTTGAGTACATTCCCAAAAAGTTGATTTTCTAATTCTATTTTATTCTTATATACTGACGCTTATATAATTTATTTTTGAACACTTATACCTTTTCAATAAACTACCTTTTCATCTAATTGACCTCGTTGGCAACCCATAGTTTGGTCCAAATCTTTCTGGACATCCGGTACATGTATATCGCTTCGGCTTCGCATATAATTTCTGAACGCTTACATCTTTTCAATAAAGCATTTTCGGATTTAAACATTTTTCATCTGGTAGCCCACAGTATAAGATTGGTCTTTTCTGGACACCCGGTATATGTATAATCGTTTCGGCTTTGCATGTCATTCCTGAAAGCTTACATCTTTTTAAAAAAGCATTTTAGGATTTGAACATTTTTTCATCCGGTAGCCCACGGTATAAGATTGGTCCTTTCTGGACACCCGGTATGTGTATATCGTTTCGGCTTCGTGGCGAAAAGACGGCGCGTGCAGGTGAAACGGAGATAAGCTGCGAACAAAACTGGATGAGGCCGCGAAGGATAGGTCGGTCGCGCGGACGATTTTCGGCGAGCGGGATCGATCCCCGGCCGAAAATAGGCGGCCGTAACCCCCGAAAATCATCGGCGATGATCCGAACCTAGCGAACCCGTTACGCGAGCTTTCGTAACCGCGGCAGCCTTACGGTCTTATTGCTTTAGGCTGGAACCCCGGTTCAGGACGTTTTCTCCGGCACCGTCGGCGATTTCTTTGTCCCCCGGAAACCGAAAGTCGACTCGAGCTTGGACTAGAACTGCTCGTCGCTTATCAATTCTTCGGTTTTTATATAAATATTATAGAATCTCCGTTTAAACCAAGTTTAACGTCTTAAAAACAATTTTAGAGATCCCGAGGAAATCAAAGTTTTTATAACGATGTCGTGGTTCAAAGTTTATAAATATATTTAATTCTTTTCTATAAAAAAAGAGATCCGTTATAATTCAAATATATAGTAGAATTTCGTTATAGATAAATTCTATTTTAGAAATTTGTTAGTATTTCTGTCATCCTTATATAAAATCAATTAATTTAATCTTTTTATTAAACGTCTATTATAATTTAAAATTTCTATTTTGGTTTCTGTCAGAAATTTACTAGAATTAAAGTTTTTATTAGAAATATATTAACGTTGAAATTTCTCTTAGAAAGTTACATAAATTTAAATTTGGAATAAAAGTTCATTCACAATTGGCATTGTTCCTATTTAAAACAAATGAATTTCGATTTTTATTAAAAATCTGCTAGAACTTAACCTTTTACTAAAAATCCATTACATGCCAAGGTTATAAAATCAATTAATTCAATCTTTTCATTAAACGTCTATTATAATTTAAAATTTCTATTTAGGTTTCCGCGTCAGAAATCTACTAAAATTAAACTTTTTCTTAGCAATATACCAACGTCGAAATTTCTCATAGAAAGCTACATAAATTTAAATTTGGAATAAAAGTTTATTCGCAATTGACATCGTTTTATAATATAAATGAATTTCAATTTCTATTAAAAATCTACTAGAACTTAACCTTCTGTCAACAATCTGATCACACAAATTAGAATATAATATTCCTAAATCCAATTTCCGCATATTCCATCGTTACACATTTCTTTTACATGCAGGAACAACGTCGCAACGTTTACGACACGAGCAAAATAAGTACCTCTAACAATAGAACAACAATGCAAAAGTTAGCCTATAATTATGCAGCCCGCTGTACAGGGTCCGCGCAACAAACATCGTTGCAACACGATCCACATCCACCGGAACATTCCTCCCCTAAAACAAATCGCACCGCCGTCGCGAAGCGACGGTTCCACAAACCAGACGATGCTCGTCGACGGACCAAACAATCCCGTTAACGCCGAGGTCCACCAAAAATTCCGGCAAGAAGAAGGGGAGGATTGGCAGCGCGCGATCATCCCCTGCGAGCCGACGGTGCTCGCAGGCGATGGCCCGATTCAATGTTTATCACCGACGACGGCCGAGATTGCACAAGAGGGTCGCTGGCTATAGTACGCTGTCTTACCTAGCTTACATAATAACAGAGCAACCCCGCCGCGACGCGCCGCGCCGCGGGGTAGCGTCGTTCGGGGTAGCGAAACCGACTAAAATATCTGCGAAACTAAACAGCACCATCGAAGAAGAATCGTCGTCGAAACGAACACAGAGAGCACAGAGAGCACAAAGAGAAAGAGAGAGAGAGAGAGAGAGAGAGAGAGGGAGGGAGAGAGAGAGAGAGAGAGAGAGAGAGAGAGAGAGAGAGTCTCAAAGACTGCTTTCGAGTGGCTCGATAAGGGACAACCCTTTCCGCGAAGGCGAGAGCAGCTTATCGCGAAACCTGGCCGTCGCAGGGCCGTGTGCTCGTCGGACCCGCTGACACCGTTTCCCTCGTCTTGCTATCTACAGACGACCTGCGGCCAACCAATTCCGATCGACCACCGTTCGCGAAACCCTTCCTGCACTCGCACTGTCCCATTTTGGCGACACCGATCGCTGGGAGATGTCACATTACTTCTGATGAGAGGACCTTAGGACCCGAAGGGTCCTTAGGACGTGACGGGTTCTTTCGCGGATCCTTAGGACGCGAGAGGTTCTCAGGGAGCTTTTTAGGACCTGAGAGGTTCACAAGGACCTGGGGGATGATCCTTAGGACCTGAGAGACTCTCAGAAGCCGAGAGATTCTCGGGACATGAAAGATCCTTAGGGCCCCGAGAGATTCTTGGGACCCAACGGTCTTAGTGCCTGTGGCCCGCGAAGACGGCTTGTCTTTCCGGAGGGTGTCCGCGCCTATGGGGTCAGCTTGGAACAGGATCGACCACCGCGGTGGACCTCGGGACGTCGTCTCTGCTGGCGGAGGCAGCGTTCGCTCCGCCGACAGTGGACGCTGACGGAATTGCGACGGGGAAAGAGAGCGAACGCGAGAGAAAAAGAGGGAGAGAGGGGGAGTAGGGGCTGCAGAGACTCACCCTTGTCGAGGGTTTCTTTGGCCGCGTGGATGACCTTCCTCCGTCTGAGTCCGTCGTCCGCGAGGACGGTCGTCATCGTGCTCGGTGCGGTGCCCGTCGTCCTCTCATCCTCGTCACTGTTCGCGCACTCGCCGGAAGTGGTCGATGCACGGTGGCCGAGGAGATTGATCGGGGACCCCTCGCCGCCTGGCATGGTGTCCCGATTAGCAGGACCGTCGCGTCCTTTACCGAGGACCCTTGCGCCTGAACTGAACTCGCTCCCTCTATGCAACCTCCGGCTACTCCCACCATGCCGGCCAGCCTCGTCTCGCTCGCACCGACGCGAACCGTCGCGCGCTCCGTCTCCCGTTCTCCCCCCACCACCACCACGCCGGAGCGGTGCACTCGCGTTCGACGAAGACGACGACGAACGCGGCGGCGGCGGCGGCGGCGGCGCCACCGGCGCGACGCACACCGACGCGCAATCAATTTTTAGGCGGTTCTAAGCGACGACCAATCGTCTTGTTGATCATTCGTTCGCGAAACGTGTTTCGTATAATTGATATGCGAGATCCAGGCGGGAGATAGAAGTTACGTTTGCCGTCACGATCTTCGGAGGCGGATCGCAGACGGCATTTTTTATTTTTAACCGTGACCGGATCGAGGCCGTTCGAGGGAAAAAACGTTTGCTACATGATTTTTCTTCGTCCAGGAATTTTACTTCCCCGCGCAATTGTTTATTGTACGATTGCATTTGTTTAAGTGTACATTGTTGTATATTCGATTGTATTAATTGTAATTTATTGCACAATTGTAGGCGTCTCCTCACGGCGATCGGTGAAATCGTTGGTTATCTTTTTGTTTTGGAAATTGTTGTACACCGTTTCTGTCAGGATTATTATACTTGATGTCCCAAAATTGTTTCGTAATCCGGAAATGGAGGGTTCCTGAGATCATTTGAAGTAACTTTCTCCTTTACAAAAATTTTCTCCGACGCGTCGTTTACGAGTTATTAACGAAAAACCGCGACCAATCGGAGCGCGAGTGCGGCCGGCGCTCTGCCCTTGCGGCCAACACCGCGTCGCGCCGGCCGTCTGACGCGGCGGCAGTGGCCACGAGGGCAGGGCGTCGAGCGCACTCGCTCTCCGATTGGCTACTGTTTTTCGTTAATAACTCGTAAACGAAGCGTCGTAGAACATTTTCGCCAAGGTAGAAGTTACTTCAAATGACCTTGGGAACTCTCCAGTTTCGGTTTGCGAGACATTTCTGGGACACCCTGTATTTATCGCGAACGGTAGAAGAAACAATCGACTCGCGTTTTAATACTAAATGAACGAACACGAATGACGAGATAATCCACGGGTTCTATTGTTAATGCCGTACGAAATGGTAAAATTTGCTGATAGTAAATATTGCTCGTAAATATTGTCCCGTTCAGCGCCTACGTACACGCATGATTTCGTATTTGTTATTTACACGCGGATTCCGCGTATGCAAATGAAACGTTTGTCCGAATTTTCGACCGTCGAAAGTGTTCGACTCGAAATTAGAACGAGACGCGAACGGGGACGTGGCGGTTACCGGATTTATTCAGGCGTTAATTTGTTATTAATATTGTCGCGGTCGGAGTAGGCGTTTCGATCTAGGCGTCCCTTAATTGACTAACGGGAGTATAATGTAATTACAGTGTGAATATTAATGTACTATTTCATTTGGTCGCTACTGCAGCGTCGTTATAATAATAATAATAATAATAATAATAATAATAATAATAATAATAATAATAATCATGATAATAATAATAATACAATTAAAACTTAATTATGGACGTTATCATTCTAGCGCTACTGAACGAACTGAACATATAACAATATACATAAACAACTCAACTTATAATTATATGAAATTGTTGTAACTATTTGTTCCCGCAGTTGGCACAGCTAAATATTCCAAGCAGCCTCGCAAACTTTCGAATTAGAATTTCGCGAACAAGTTTCATCCGTTAATTATCTTGGAAACAGCGAAACATCTCGCTTCGCGTCAAACAAAAATTTCTGTACAATAAATTCTCTCCAATTGTCCCTCGGCTTGCAAAGAAATATGGAAAATTTGGAAAGAGCGGATGCGATTATTCGTTTCTATTATAGTTTTATATTATATTTTATTTTATAATATTATAGTTATTATTAGCTTTATATTATAGTTATAGGTTATAGGTTATCTCCTCTACCCAAATTGTCCATTTTTGTGCGCTATCCGAACGCCAATTAGGGAGAGGTTACAGTACATCGTAGGAAAATGTTTGATCAACTTCGACCGACGACAACTCCGCGAAAAATCATCGAATCGTAATGAAATCTCTCTTTCAAATTTTTTCGATTTTAAGTTCGACGCACTCTCGCCACTGTACCCCTCTAAATGCGAGGTTATGTTCGAAAATGTCATAGCAACCTTCGAAATGCGCGTCGATATTTTCTCTGGGACGCCGTTTGCGACAGAACAAAGCCCGATTCTTCCTCTTTGATTTAAAAAAATAAGTATAAAAACGTAGAATACTATATGCATAAAATACGTATAAAAAACATAATAATATACGTATAAAATACATAATAATATACGTATAATAATACACGTGCAATAATATACGTACAATAATATACGTATAAAACATATAATAATCGCATCTCCTCTCCCAAAATTCACCATTTCTGTTTACAAATCGAGAGGCAATCGGAGAGAACTTACTGTACTTTCGCGGATCATCGATCGCATCCGTCGATTTCGAGCGACGGCCAAAAAATCTTGCGTCCCGCGATCGAACTCGGCGAATCCCTCGAGAACAAGTGGAACGAGTAGAGGACAACGCAGACGTAGACGGTCGCCGAAAGTTTCTGCCGGAGCGAAAGTTTCGCGTTTTCCGGCACGAAACGCCGTTTCAGCCCGCGCAAAAGTCGCCGCCGGCTCCGATGTCATTGCCTCCACGAACGCGGCGTCGCTTCTTTTCGGCGAAACAGCGTAACATTTCCGCGTGGTCCCGCCATCTGTGGCGAACTACGGCCGCGACTGGCGATCGATCGCTCGCGAACGCCATTTTTCGCTCGACTACGCCGCGATACGCGACACCTTCTCCCTTCGATCTTCTCGCCTTCGTGCTTTTCCACGCCGTGTCGCGCCGTTTACCACGCACACGTGCCGCCGTGAAATTAGGTTAACGCCTCCGTTAACAGGACTGCCTTACCCGCCGCTGCCCCGTGAGCTCGCGTTTTGCATTCTCGTTCCCATGATTCTCTAGATCTCGTGAAAAATCACCGCGAAATACTGCTCGCGCGTGTACCGTCGTCATAGCAATCGTTGCTTCGTCATAGCAATCGTTGCTTTGTCGTAGCAATCGGTCACTAATTTTCTTCTAATATTGCAGATCGGTCCGCGTTAGATGGAGGCAGTTCCGTGACATTTTCTTGCGCGATCGTGACGTTTTAGCCGGAAGAAACGCCGCGGTTTTGTTGAAAGAAGTCTGGTAATTTTTGGTCAAATAATAATTTTGAGAGGTTATGTGTTGCGTTAGTATCAGTTCGAATGATTTTATGGATCGTGGACGAGATTATTGTGGTTTTTGAACCGAAAAGGTAAAAGACTTTATGGTTTTATTCACGCTAAATTGTACAATTATTGTTAAAATTATAAAGACGTTTTAAGTGAAATAGGATTTAAATTCTATATTTAATTGAAAAATAAATTGTTCGAATACCATGTTATCCGGATAATACGACGAATAATATGTATATAGAATAAATTCTTCTAATAAATTTTGATTTGTATAATATTTCGAATCAAATTTTATTTATACAATATACTGAGAGTAAATTATACGAATCAAATTTGATTTGTACAATATTTCGGATAAATTATTCGAATCAAATTTTATTTATACAATATACTGAGAGTAAATTATACGAATCAAATTTGATTTGTACAATATTTCGGATAAATTATTCGAATCAAATTTTATTTATACAATATACTGAGAGTAAATTATACGAATCAAATTTGATTTGTACAACATTTCGTAAAAATTATTCGAATAAAATTTTATTAGCACAATATTTCGAGTAAATTCTCCGAATAAAATTCTATCCGTTATCCGAGCAAAATATATCGAACTCTGTGCCTTAGATTCCTGTTAATCCGCGCTCGGGGGTTAATTCCGTGCCCCCCGAATGCTGTTCTAAGAAAAATCGCGACCGACGAATAGATGTACCGGTGATTTCAATGTAACTCATTTAAGACAGCTGACGTCCTGAGCCGCGATCGTAAGCGGATCTCTCGCGTTCGACTTCCTCGTCGGATCCTTAAATATTGGACGGTCGTTGAAAGCGTCGCGGCCGTCCCTGACGAGGGAAATTGACTCTTGGTTCGACGCGGGGTCAAGGGCGCGTTCTAAATTCGCGCGCTGCCACTTTATTCGGAGACTGAGACACCGCCGCGCAGATTATTCCCTATTTCCGGTATCGAAGTGGCCATCAGGAGCGAAGACGGGGCGGCATCGGTCTCGCGACACAGATATCGATGGGGGATGACCGACGCGCTGCTCCCTGCACCCTGAACTCTCCGCATTGTCCGCCATAACAGCCCGGAAAACTATTGCTATCCGAAAAATGATCGCGTCGGTACTTCCGGACCGCTTTGATAACACGAGTCCAACGAGCCTTGCGATTAGTGGCTCGCGTTTCCCCGAACTACAGACGATATTTACACGTTCGAAGCAAACCCTTCGTAAATTCTTCTTCTTTTATTTTATTTGTTGGTTAAATGTTTATCCGGATAAGTTTTTATTCGATTGAATTTTTATTTAATAGTGTCGGATAAATTGTTATGTAGGTAAATTTTTATTCGATTGGATATTTAGTCGATTCAATGTTTATTCAATAGTGTTGGATAAATTGTTATCTGGAAAAATTGTTATTGGATTGGATATTTATTCAATTGAATGTTTATTCGATAGTGTCGGAAAAATTGTTATCTGGATCAATTTTTATTCGACTGAATATTTATGCGATAG